GCCACCTTTTTTCTGCCGCCCCCCCCCCCCCCCCCCAGTCATGGGGTTTTCAGCCTGGGCTAATGTGCTGGGTCTCTCTGGGCTTCCAGGCCCCAATAAAGTGTACCTCCCCTCCCCATGTGGCAGTGAAACCAAGACAGTGAATGGAGCCCAAAGGCAGAAGGGGAGGGGGAGATTTGAAAGGGAATTCAGTTCATTTATTTATGTAGAGAACTCACATGCTGCCTATTCAGAGGCACGGCTTGATGCTCCTCTCAAAAACCACAGTGGATTATTGAATCTGAACTGTGGGTGGTAGCCTGCCAAGAGAGCAGCACTCTAGGAATCTCCCAATCCCAACTCTGTGTGATGTATCAACATCATAGAGGCGCAGAAGGAAGCCAGGAGTATTCTTACCCCACACCTGGCATGTGTTGGAGAGTCCCAGAGAGAACAAGGATGTAAGCTGAGCACCCCCCACCTGACACCCCCCCCTCCACAGTTCTTCTTTTCCAGTGTTAGCTTTCCTGAGTCAGCTTGCTTCTCCAGATTTGTAGAAGAAAATGTATTTATTTATTTCTTATCAAATTTGTACCCCGCCCTCCCCACAAAGCAGGCTCAGGGCGGCTTCCAAAATGACATATATACAGCTTAAAACACAACAAATAAAACAAGCATAAAATACTGGCAGCAATTAAAATTCTCTTAGATGACACACTGTCAAAGGATTTCCATTTCCCAAATGTTCTAAGATGTTCTTCTGCTCGTAGTTTTCTTATGACAACAACTCAATGGTGCATCATGGGCCAGGCGCTGCAACGGTCGGGCGATTCAGTGGTGGCAGCCCCTAATTGAATGCCTGGCAGAAGAGCTCTGTCTTGCAGGCCCTGCGGAACTGTGAAAGGTCCCACAGGGCCCTGATCTCCTCCGGGAGCTCGTTCCACCAGGTAGGGGCCGTCCATAGTGCTCTCTGGGGTATATACAGGGAAAGGTGGTCCCGTAGGTATGTCAGACCCCGGCCATAAAGAGCTTTGATGGTAAGAACCAGCACCTTGAAGCGGATTTGGTATGCTACTGGCAGCCAGTGCAGTGTCCTCAGTGCAGGTTGGATGTGCTCCCATCTAGGGAGACCCAGCAACAGCCTGGCCGCGACATTCTGCACTAGCTGCAGCTTCCGAATCCGCGACAAGGGCAGCCCCATGTAGAGAGCGTTACAGTAGTCTAGTCTTGAGGTGACCATTGTGTGGATCACTAGCCAGGTCAGCGCGGTCGAGGAAGGGAACCAACTACCTAATCAGCCTGAGATGATAAAAGGCCGACTTAGCAGTGGCCGCTACCTGGGCCTCCATAGTAAGGGAGGGATCCAGGCGCACTCCCAAACTCCGAACTTCCGGGGCTGGGACCAATGGAGCCCCCCGAGGGTCAGGAGTGGGATCCCCACCCCCGAACTGCCCCGACTCAGGCACAGGACTTCCATCTTCGCTGGATTCAACTTCAGCCGACTCCGTCTAAGCCAACCAGCCACGGCTTGCAGCCCCTGGTCTAGATCTTCTGGTCTGGAGTCCGACCGGCTGCCTAGCATCAGATAGAGCTGGGTGTCATCAGCGTACTGGTGGCATCCCAGCCCATACCTCCGGGAGATCTGGGCAAGGGGGCACATAAAGATGGTAAATAGCACCAGGGACAGCACAGCCCCCTGAGGCACGCCACACTCAAGTGGGTGTCTCCTGGACTGCTGTTCCCCTAGCGCCACCCTCTGTCCCCAACCCTGGAGAAAGGAAGCAAGCCACTACAAGGCAAGCCCCCAAATCCCCACGTCGGCGAGGCAGTCAACTAGTAACTAGTGGTTGACTGTGTCATCTTGGTGCTTGGGGGGGGGCCAACAGTGGGAGGGCTTCTAATGTCCTGGCCCCACTGGTGGACCTCCTGATGGCACTGGTATTTCTGGCCACTGTGTGATACAGAGTGTTGGACTGGATGGGCCTTTGGCCTGATCCAACATTGGCATCTCTTATGTTCTTATGTTCTTATGTCAAACGCGGCCGACAGATCTAATAACAACAGTACTGCCGCCCCGCCCCAATCCAGATGTTTCCGGAGGTCATCAGTCAGGGCGACCAACGCCGTCTCCGTCTCATGTCCTGGGCGGAAGCTGGACGAAGGGATCTAGCACAGAAGCGTCATCCAGAAAGTCCTGCAGCTTGGTTTGCACATTTCTACAAAAGTCAGCTCCTCCTCGGGCAGGCAAGTAGGCTTTGTACTTGGTGGGTCCCAGAAAGAGACAGATATAAGTTTGGGTGAGCTCTTCCCTCTCCCAGTTGTTAATGTAACCCTCAGAAACAAGATAGATTAGCCCGTGGAGCAGAATCAATAAACAGAAATCAGCAGAGGGAGACCCTATTTTCTGGGGTGGTGATTTCCGGGGCTCTTATTGCCTTATATAAGGGCTGTCTTCTGGAAGCTGAGGCCTGGTGAATTAGGTCCAACAAGCCATTGTGCCTTATGGTCTACCTTATAGAGAACAAACCAGCTCTACTGCAGTTAGATGCTAAATGCATTCTGAAATGTTACAACAATAGAAATTTCCAGCAACACCTCCTCTATTTCATTGGGTGATTTCTGGTTATCTAGAAGATTAACACTGCGAAAATGAAATGTGTTGTTTTTCTCTTGACCAAACCATCAGTGACTTTTGAAATATCTTCCTTTCTTTGCCGTCCATTGCGAAAGGGCTCTTTTTGTAGCAGGAACTCCTTTGCATATTAGGCGACACACCCCTAATGTAGCCAATCCTCCAAGAGCTTACCAAGATCTTACAGTAGCCCCTGTAACAAGAGCTCTGTAAACTCTTGAAGGATTGGCTACATTAGGGGTGTGTCGCCTAATATGCAAAGGAGTTCCTGCTACAAAAAGAGCCCTAAATATCTACTATGTACAAAATCTGCATACAAAATTTATATTGCTCAGACTGCTTGAAATTGCCAGAACACTTGTCTTGGTGGAATAAAACGCAATTAGAATCTATCTATAATAAAGATAAAAAGACTGGTTTTAATGACAAACTAACTGAATTAGAAAAAACTCTTGTATTTTTGGATGATAATGTCAGGATCCACAGCAAAGCAATGAAGTACACGCTTCTAGGAAGGTTATACATTTATTGAAAAGCCATAGATGCAGTAACATGAACACTGTTAGGAATGGCGGGTTACCTATGCGCATAATAGGATATAGGGCATTCGTATGTGCCCCCCCACGTGTTACCCAATTAGAAGGGCTCCCGCGTGCGGGCATTTAGCAGAGTCTCTAACGGCTGCAAAGCTAGCCAAGGGAAGCTTCCCATGAAACCTAGACACACCATCACCACCTGTGACCTTGAGAGATACGCGTTACAGCCTAGATGCAATTAAGCGCATGGGAAGGAATGCAAAGCAATAAGAAACATATCCACACTCATGGCAGCTATAGCTGACAGATAAACTGATAAAGAAAAACTATAACATTTTGTTAGAGAATTTGCTGTTAGATGAAACAGTTAAGCAAAATATGATTCTATGGGCACAAAATGTAGGTCATAATATTACTTTGAGAGAGTGGGACCAGATATGGTCTAAAATATTAGAATGACTAAGGCAGTATCATCTAAAGAAAATATGTATAAGATGTTTTATAGATGGTATATTACACCAGATAAACTTGCTAAGCAGAATGAAAATTGTTCAGATAAATGTTGGTAATGTAAAAATAAGATAGGTACATTTTATCATATGTGGTGGCTTTGCGATGTAACAAAGAGATACTGGAGATGGACTCACGAGATGATGCAAGAGATATTGAGAACTAAAATACCATTTTTTTTGCCGGAAATATTACTACTAAACATATTTCCAAAAGATTTTGATAAAAATGATAGATATTTGATAGTACATCTATCTACGGCAGCAAGAATATTATATGCAAAATATTGGAAACAAATGGAAGCACCAAAGAAGCAAGAATATGTGAATAAACTGTTGTAAACGGCTGAAAATGACAAACTGTCATTGTTGATGAGAGGGACAACAGACCTAACATTTCAAAAGACGTGGAAAAAACTGTATGTCTGGTATAATATAAATGGATAGTTTAAAATAATGAAGTTTTTGGTATTATTAATCTTAGTTAAATAGAAACTACGGTAAAAAGATAAGAGTATACAGAAACTTAAGCAAAATTATAGAAAGTGATTTAAGAAAAATTTTAAGTATGGTAAAAGTTATAAGAAAATATACTGATCTCTTTGTATGTCTTATGTATGTAAGTCGTTGTTTGTTTATATGCTGTATGTAGGTATGTGTGTAATATGAAAAATAATAAAATTGTACCCAGGGGTACTTAAAAAAATTATATTACTCCCTCAAAAGTGTATGCCGTCCCTTTTCTTCCCTTCCACTCTATTTAATTTCCATCTTATAAAAATCACCTTTCTACTGAAGCAACTCACAAGCTATTAAAAACACTTTACAACAAAGGAATTACAATTCAAAAAGAGACAATGAAAAACTGGGTTACAAAGAGTCCAAAGCTGTTCTTGTTTAAACTTTGCAGCACGGCTGGAGGACGATTTGCACCCATTGGGAAATAGGCTCCTTTAGGACACTCAACACACACAGAACAGCCATGGCGGGTAACAGCAGCCCCTCTGCTTTCAAGACGGAGCGCAGATCTCAACTGAGAAGGCTCAGAAATGGGCATCTTCTCTGCCTATGGAGAATGGTCCAAAGATGCGCCAGGATGACTCAGCTGAAAACCAGGAGGCGAGTAAATAGTGTATTGTAGTCACTGGGAACAAAGGATTCAATGCTGGGCTGCAGAGGGCTCGGCATGGAAGAGTGAATCCGCAGCCCTTTGTGGGGGGTTTCCCATCTGCAAGTACATTTCTGAGACATTAAATCCTTGGGGCTATTTGGTGCCATTATTCTCTCATGGGGTCATCCGCTAAACCCACAAAGAGCTAATAGTGCCTTTTTAATGTTGACAGAACATCTACCCATTGTAGGGAGATTATGAATAATAATTGTGTGGTCAGATTCTCCCTTATTAGATTCCTGGCTGTTTACTAAGATTTGAGGAATCACTTGGGGGGGGGGGATTCTTTACTAATTAAATCATTACATAATTTGGGGCACCTGTGACTCATTTGACATCCATAAGGCTTGTTCTATTTCTAATAGTCTTAATCTGATCATTTCGACAATTCCTCCTCTTTGTGCGTTCTTTGGTGGGATATAAAATGGCCTCTCCGTCTGAATCTTTTCCCACAGTCCCTGCATCTATATTTTTTCTCTCCGGTGTGGACTGTATGATGTTCTGTAAGCTGTGTGCCGGTGGAGAAAGCCTTTCCACACTGCAGGCATTTAAATGGCTTCTCTCCTGTGTGAGTTCTGTTGTGTCTGTTAAATTCTGAACCGCTGCTAAAACTCTTCCCACACTCCAAACATTTATAGGGCTTCTCCCCTGTGTGGATTTTTGTATGTGTATTAAGGCTTGAGCTCTGATTGAAGCTTTTCCCACAATCCAGGCATTTATATGGTTTCTCCCCTGTGTGGATCCTTCGATGCAATTTAAGGTGGGTGCTGATACGGAAACTTTTTCCACACTCCAAGCACTTATATGGCTTTTCTCCTGTGTGGACGCTTTGGTGAACCTTCAGATGCGAGCTCTGACTGAAGCCTTTCCCGCACTCCTGGCATTTGTAGGGTTTCTCTCCAGAATGGGTTCTTCGGTGGGAAATAAGGTGTGGACTCTGACTGAAGCATTTCCCACACACTGTGCACTGGTATGGTTTCTTTCCTGAGTGGGTTCTCTGATGTGAAGTGAGGGATGCGCTGCAACTGAAGGTCCGTCCACACTCCAGACACTCAAACGGCTTCTCCTTTGTGTGGATTCTTTGATGGCAAGTGAGGCTTACACTGTGAGTGAAGGTCTTTCCACACATCAAGCATTTATAGGGTTTCTCCCCTGTGTGGATTCTCTGATGCGTAGTGAGGTTTGAATTCCAACGAAAACTCTTTCCACATTCCGAGCATTTATATTTTTTCTCGTCGGAATGGATTCTCTGATGCAAAGTAAGAGCATTCTTACAACTCAACCTCTTGCCGCACTCTGGACACTGGCATGGTTTTTGCCCTGTGTGGGGTCTTTGATGGGAAGTAAGACTTTCACTCAGACCAAAGCTGTTTTCGCACTCTGAACTCTCGGATGGTTCCTCCCCCTTATGGCTTCTCTGATGAGAAGTGAGGCTTACGAGCCTGCTGAAGACTTTCCCACATTCAGAGCATTTGTACGTTTCATCCCCTGCACGGATTCTCAGATGGGAAGAAAAGTTGGATTCACATCTCAAGACTTCTCTGCTTTCAGAATGTTTATTCCTCCTCTTTCCTTTGCCATATTCTTCTTGGGATGGATTTTCAAGGAGGATCCCAGCCTGGAAAACTACAGACTGATTCCTTGACTTCTCTACTTTGCTTTCTTCCTGCCTCTTTGACTGTTCTGGAATCCTGGAAGGCTCTTCTTCCGCCTCGTGGCTGGTCGTTTTGAGAGATGCCGCACATCGGTCACTATAGTTCTCATCCTCCTGCCTGTGACCTGGTGGAACAAAGACTTCAGGTTAGAAGGGGAAATAAGTCTATAATCTGCAATCATAACGGAGTTAACTTTTCTGCAGAATTAAAAAAGATGCAATGAACATGAAATTGAGGAAACTTCAGAGGACGGAGGAAGACCGGAAGGCCTGGCATGATCTGGTCCATGGGGTCGCGAAGAGTCGGACTCGACTGTGCGACTGAACAACAACAAAGGAAGACCAAGTTCTTTTTTCCAATTTAATCTGTTTTCTAAACTGGATACTTTGGCACTCCTCATCAATGGTTTTCATCTGGGGAGTTCACTGCTTCCCTGCGGATACTTTTAATACTCCTCAACAGCTTCTGACACAGCAGCCCAATATTTAAGTACAAAGGTACAAAATAGATTTAGACTAAAGCTTTTTTATATGAATGGTTTCATTAATTTCATTTTTCTTAATATGAACCACTCAGAGATAGTGCAGAAGAAAGGTGATCAGAGAGCAGAGTTCAGCACCACAGAAGGCACCACATGCAGGTGAGGGCAGAGTTCCACAGGGGCTGGTGTTGTTCACCTTTAAAGCCCTCTATGGTTTGGGACCAAGAATCTTGAAGGACTTTCACTGCCTTATGAACCTACCTGACCACTATCAACATCTTCAAACGCTCTACTTCAAGCGCCATGCCTTCTCAGAGAAGTCAGTGTGGCAATCCTGGAGAGGGCCTTCTCTGTTGTGGCACCACAACTCTGGAACCCTCTCCCTGGGGATACTGCCCTCTCCCCTCCTGATACCATTTCCTGTCATTGGTTGAAGACGTTGTTGTTTCATTCAGCCATCCCCTCAGTGATTTTTCCTTCCCACTCAATGGTTGTTGTTTTGTACTTTTGATGGTTTTTACGATGTGATTTTATTATATACGTTTTAATTTGATGGGTGGTGTGGGTGGCTCTTATGGAGGCAGAATAAATAAAAATTTAAAAAAAATCAGTAGCATATATTTAATATCCACACAAAATCCTTGGAGGGAGGCTGCCTGGAGCTTTGAGGTGGCTCTTATCCCTCTGCCGATAAGATTATTTCATTCTTTAAGCAACCAGAGAGGCTCATCAGTGGCTGCTAACTGTAGTGACGAAGGGAATCTCTGTGTTCAGAGGCAGCAAACCTCTGGATACCAATGCCAGGAGGAACCATCCAGGGGAAGGCCTCGGCCTTTATGCCGTCATTGGCTGTCACAGGAATTGTCTGGCCACTGTGTGAAACAGGATGCTGGACGGGAACATAATAACGTAAGAGAAGCCAATGCTGAATCAGGCCCATAGCCCATCCAGTCCAAAACTCTGTCACACAGTGGCCAAAAATACCAGGGGCCATCAGGAGGTCCACCAGTGGAAGCCAGGACACTAGAAGCCCTCCCACGCCCCCCCCCAGGACCAAGAATACAGAGCATCCCTTGCCCCAGACCGAGAGTTCCTATCTATACCTTGTGGCTAATGGCCACTGGTGAAACTCTGCTCCATATGGCCACTGATGGACCTCTGCTTCATCCAATTCCCTCTTGAAGCTGTCCATGCTTGTAGCCACCACCATCTCCTGTGGCAGTGAATTCCATGTGGACCTCTGGTCTGATCCAGCAGGGCTCTTCTTTTGTTCTTCTAACATTCTAACCAGGACACCTTCTAGACTTCTTCTGAGTAAACTCAACTGTAAAAGCTTTGTTATCCAACACTCATGAAAACGGAGGCTCCCAGTTAATCAAATGTGCTGGCTAAATTAGCTTTACTCTGACAGTAGCTGAATTTTCCACCATAAGCAAAAGAGAAGTAGAGTAGTAGACGGCTGGGTTATCTACCAAAACACTTCATGTCTCGGCAGACAAACTATTTGGTGATACTGAGGCTGAAGAAAAAATAAGGGGCTTGGGTGTCACCAGTACATTGTTCAATATGTATTGATGACTTCATGTTACCCGCCCTGAGCTCTGCTGTGCAAGGGAAAGCCAAAGATAATAAATAAATACATTTTAAAAACCCAGTTTCGAGTATAGGCTAATGGTGTCTGAACTTAATGAGATTGGAAGGGAAAAAGATCCAGGGTCGTAGTGGAGAGTTCAATGAAATCGTCAACCCAGTGTGCTGCTGCGGTAAAAAGGCAAATTCAATATTAGGGATTATTAGGAAAGAGATTGGAAATAAAATGGCCAACGTTGTAATGCCCCTGTGTAGATCTATGATGCCGCTTCATCTGAAATACTGTGTACCGTTTTGGTCCCTGTATCTCAAAAAGGACAATGCAAAGCTGGAAAAAGTACAGAGGAAGGCAACCAAGAAGATAAGGGCGTTGGAGCACCTTCCCTTTGAGGAAAGGTTGAAGAACCTGGGACTTTTCAGTTTAGAAAAGAGAAGGCTAAGGCAGGGGGACATGATAGAGGTTTATACATTTAGGCATGGGGTGGAGAGAGTTGACAAAGAGAATTTTTTTCTCCCAAAGTACTAGAACTCAGGGGCATCCAGTGCAGCTGATGGGCTGTAGGTTCAGGACGAACAAAAGGAAATTCTACTTTACACAGAAGGTGATTAAAATGTGGAATTTGCTGCCAGAGGAGGTACTGATTGCTAGAGGAATAAAAAGTGTTAAAAGGAGATTAGATAAGAGTCCTGGAGGAGGTCTATCAATAGCTACTAGCCATGGTGGTTGAGGGGAACCTCCCCATTCAGAGGCACTAATCCTCTGAATCCCAGAGCCAGGAGACAATATCAGGGGAAGGCCTCGGTGTCTATGCCCTGTTATTGGCCGTCCAGAGGAAATGGTTTCCCAATGTGAGAGACAGGATGCTGGACTAGATGAGCCAGTGGTCTGATCCAGCAGGGCTCTACTTTGCTTCTTATGACCAAATCATGAAGAAAGGGAATACAGTTTGGGCTCCCTGTTTAACCCTCCAGCTGTTTTCCTGACAACACATCATCCTCTTGTACAATCTTTCCCCCCCCCCGAGTCTCCCTTGCCTCCACCAAAGGGGGAGACAGAATCCTGAAAAATCATTTCTTGTTCTTGCAATGTAGACAGCCCAGAATCTGGAGATACTTCCAGGTGGACAGAACCAATGTTCCCTCTAAGCTGTGGGTTCTTGTGAGCAAAAATTCTACTTTGTGAGCCGCTGGCATTACAGTTCTGAGCAAGCGATTTGGCTCCTGCATAAATTAGTTTGCTCTGGAGCCATCCTTCCTGAGCTAGGACAAAAATGTGTGAGCCGGAGGCTAAAAAACTGTGAGCTAGCGCACACTAACTAGCTTAGAGGGAACACTGGACAGAACCACGGTCAAGACCCAAGGCCCACACATCTGGATCAACACTGAGAGGAAAGGGACTGTTTCAGCCTCCCCCCCATGCAAAATCTTAGGAGGAGGGAAACCTCAGAGGGTGGCGGAGCCGCTGCAGGTATCCCGCGGGTACGTGAGCTCACGGCCTGAGTGATCAGGGCAACTCTAAACATCTAGCTGCCCTCCAAGGAAACCGCTCAATCCCCAGCCAACAAAGAGGCCCATCATGCATTTAAGCACCCACCTGCCGACCGCTCCTCTTCTTCGGGTTCTGGGGGAAACGGTGCTTCGCTGTCCTGAAGCCAGGAGATGAGGCCAGGCTTGGGAGTCGCTTCGGAGGAAACAAACAGACTAGTTAGTTACTAGGAAAAAAAAAAATCAGGCCTTCCTACCTCATCCATTTCTACATTCACCTTCTGAAAGACCACAAGAGAGAAGGAAAGTTTCTAACCCCAACAGATCTGTATGTAACAGAAACAGAGTGCACAAAGCATCCATCTTTCAGTAGGCCTACTGTTCATGAAGCTTGGGAGAGACGCACCAGTTAGGAATCTCATTCTGGGGGCCAAGGCAGCCATGCTTCTCTTTAGCCATTCCTCGCGCAGCCTCCGAACTGAGAGGGTAATCATTTCCCTCCTCCTTCAAAGACTCCCCTTCTCTCTAAAGGGCCTCGAGAGTGTTCCACTGCTTTTTAAGCCTCCCTGCAGCAAATGTTCTGTCCATTGCTAACCAGAGTCTAAGTCAGACGGCAGGGCCTATTTATTAGCCTGTGACCCCCTCCCCCGGCAGGATTCTCTGGCCCTTGCAATGCCCTCCCACCAAATGAACACCGTGGACTGCTCTGGAAGCTAAGATTTCCTGCCTCTGCCAGACTGAGGTGCAGATTTTGCCTTGAGTCCCAATGAGAAAGGCAGACTATAAATAACAGAAATAAAGAAGCAACAGTGGCAAAAATCACAGCTTCCACGTCTATCAAGCAAGACAAGAGGGAGCCTCACCCACAGAGGTCACATTCCCATAGTTCTCCACCATGACGTCTCTATACAAAACCCTCTGGTCTGGGTTGCCCACTCGGCCTTCGTGAAACGCACGGCCACCTCCTCGAAGGAAACCGGGCACTGAAAAAGAAGGGAGATACTTTTTTCCTCACAACTCATCTCACCACTAATCCACCCACTCCTGCCCAAAGATGCTTTTGCTCACAATACAGAAAAAAAGAACACATGAAGCACCTCATACTGAATCAGCCCACTCTTCTATCGAGGTCAGTCCTGTCCAGTCAAACCAGCAGAGGCTCTCCAGAGATTCATGCTGGGGATTGAACCTGAGGCCTTCTGCGTGCCAAGCAGCGGCTCTACCACTGAGCCACGGACCCTCCTCCTCCTCCAGACCCTTCATCTCAGGTTCTCATTACCCCAAGGGGGAGTTCTACCTTCAAGGAATACTTGACACACCACAGGAAAAACAAGAAAACCTGCCTGGGGAATTGATAGGCATCCCACCTTTTCATCCATGGAAGAATTTCAGTGCGCCACACGGCCTACTGAACAGGCTGCTGTGCTACCTGGCAGTTCTCAAAAAGCATATTAGGCCTTTTCTCTCTCTGGACAAATCTAAGGCAGCTTACAAGAAGGAAAAGGTTCCAAATTACAAAGGTAAACAGAAACGGTTCCTTCCAGCCCTGCCGGAGGAAAAGGAGGCATCAAGCTTCTCTTCACACATCTCTTCACAGATGATCCACCCCTTACCTGAGCTGGCTGCATCTTCAGTGTTTCCACTCCACTCCCAAAGAGGAGATGTTCTGGAACCCGGCTCTGAGGCTCTTCCACGGCCTGTAGGGAGACACATTTATCATGACTGGTTTACTTCATTTGCGCCCCCTCAAAGGGTAGTAAAAGTGGTTTACATTGTTCTGTTTCCCTCCCTTCTGTCCTCACAACAACCCTGTGAGGTAGGTCAGGCGGACACCGTGCAACTGGCCCAAAGTCAGCCAGAAACCCTCCATGGCAGAGTGGATATTTTAACTGTGACCTTCTAGATCCTAGTCAGATACTCTACCCACTAAACCACACTGGCTCTGAGAGCTCAGGGAGATTCTTACACTCCCTTTGTTTTAAACGAGGAGATATCCCCCCCCCCTCCCAGTCTGTGCTGCCTTCCTTCCCAAAGGGGACTTGTAAACAGCTTACATTGTTCTCATCTCCATTTTATCCTCACAACAACCCTGTAAAGCGGGCTCGACTGAGTGTGGGTGACCAGCCCAAGGGCATACTAGGGATTTGAACCTGGGTCTCCCAGATCCTAACTCAGCACTCTAACCAGTTTCCCAGGTTTTGACCTTCTCAGGGAGAGCAGAGGAGAAAGAAAGAAACAGAAATACCCTCGTGGGAGAATCACCTTAAAATCAAGGCCTGTTGGGCATGTCAGATGGATCCCAAGTCTCACAGGGCCCGGAGGACTGAAAACGTCAGAGGCTGAACCAAAACGGTCCAGTATTTGGCTCCCTCAGACACGTTTCCCCACGATGGGTCACAGGGAGGCTGCTGGCTTTCCCTGACTGCCAAAAATCAGGTTGCCCTGAAGGAGAGACACAAACAACCTGTCAGGTGATTCACAAGATGGTGTAATTTGAAGCACAGCCGTTTCTAGAAGAGAAAAAGAGGCCCCTGCTGGATCAGGCCATTCAGCCCAGCCTCCCATTTCAGACAGGGGCTATTCAGATGCCTCTGGGAAACCCACAAGCAGAGACTGATGCCCCCCTCCATTCACTGCACTGGAATGTGGAAGTTCTCTTTCAGTTTTTTTAAAAAAGCTAGCCAGGAGACACAACATAACAGGGATTTGGCAGGGTAGACGGCTCCTGAATTTATGTTGGTAGGCTCATCACAGGGCTAAGAGAGGTGGCATCCTCCAAAATCCCCCCTTCTGCACAATGATGGAAGGGACAGGAACCTGCTCAGGTCCTCAGAGTTCTTTTGCATGGAGCAACCCTCTCAATTCTCCCTCACACACACACATCCCCCAGTTGCAAGCTTTGCCTTTATCCCCTGAAGGAAAATTGACCAGTAGGCATTGTGGGATTAAAAAATCCTCTTTCCGGTCCCTAATATCGATGCCAAGGGGACGATACTCCTTGGAAGAGGTGCACAAAACTGGACAAGGGATCCAGACTGACTCCACAGAAATCTACTGGTTTTGACTACACTAAAAACAAAACTATGTTATTATTTACCGCTGTGTTATTTTGCACTCACTGACTGCTTGACTTTATGGTATTTTGTATCTGTTTACTGATTAACTGGAAAGTTTTTTTAAAAAAATATCATACTCATCATCCACCCTTGGGTCTCACTGAGAAAGGTGGACTATAAATGAAAATAATCAATAAATCATACAGCAGATACACATAGCCATCTTTTAACAAAGCAGCTAAAACAGAAAGCCAAATTTAGGGGGGAGGGAATTAGAAAAAATGTAAATTGCTCGCAATTATTAAAATGTAAGACCAGGCCAGTTGCCAGGAATTTCTAAGTTGGGGGGCATTTAAATTCCTCGGGGGGCACTGGCTAATTCAATTACATGTAATTTAATTAACTTGATTGGTACGGCGCAGGGGAGAAAGGTGCGTTGCAGGGGGAAGGCAAGGAGAAATGGCAGCCATGGCAGTGTGGGGGAGTTCACAGTGACCACCAGTGTTCCCTCTAAGCTGAGTTAGTGTGAGCTAGCTCAGTTTTTTAGCCTCTGGCTCACACATTTTTGCCTTAGCTCAGGAAGGAGGGCTCCAGGGCAAAATAATGTATGCAGTAGCCAAATCGCTTGCTCACAACTTTAATGCCAGTAGCTCACAAAGCAGAATTTTTGCTCACAAGACTCCACAGCTTAAAGGGAACATTGGTGACCACTGCATCATACCAGAAAGTCAGGGGGCCTTGGCCGAAAGGAAGTCAGGGGGCCTTGGTAGGAAGTCAGGGGGCCAGGCCCCAAAATGCCCCACTGTAGCTACACGCCTGTGTAAGACGGTCACAGTTATTTACAGCTGCGTAGGCATCACTCATTCAACCACCGCTTTCCTTCTGTTCCTAGAACTTGATGGAGGTTGGAGAGAAACACACGTTCATTATAGTGTCCACAATATATACATGCGTTCCAAACGTCATTAAAAATATCTGCACACGATTGACTGCTAACCTAATCAGTTGAGTTAATTTCCCCAGCAAAGGTAATGTTGCCCAAACACACATATCGCACGATCCTTCATTGGACTGCACTTGATTTGGGGAAAAAAACAACACAACCCATTTCTATATCCGTCTTACTTTAATTGTTCCTCCAAAAAAACAACACCTCCTTCCCGCCCCCGGTCTCTAAATTGCACCTGAAGACTCCGCGCTTCCAGATAGGACTTCTAAACGAAACCTCCAAAACTTCTGTACAGAAACTTCTGGGGCGCGTGACCCACGGGGAGGTGGGAGGGTGCCTCTGCAACTCATACCCCCGCCCCTATTCCCCCCCTTCCTCTCTAGCGATTTTGAACTCTCTCGTTTTAACCATTGGAGCGCCCAAAAGCGTGGCCTCTTACGAGGATTCGCCAAATCAGGATTTACCCCTCGGCTGGGAAGCTGCTTTTTTGGAAGAGAAACTAGCAAGGAGGAGCGCCGGGGAACGTGAGAAACGAACCTGGGATTTTCCCAAGCGGGTCAGCAGCAGCAGCAAACACCCCCCCCCCTTCCCCCGGTCGCTGCAAAACCTGGTGGAAAAGGCACTTAGGCGGCAATGGAGTTGCAATAACACGAGGGAGAGGGGGAAAGCAAGAGAGGGGGCGGGGAACGAGTTTTATTTCCCCCCCCCCCGGGTTTGGGACAGACTTTTAAGACGCGCTCCCGCCCCTCCACAGTCTCATGAGAACTGTATTGCTGATAAGAGCCTCCCTTTGCTAGTGTGGTTTATTGATAACACACACACCCCTGAGATTCTACACGTTTGCAATCCATCTTGTCACTCGGTCATTCAAAACTGTAGGACAAGGCATTAATGAATCTGCGTTCTATTTCTCTCTCTGCTACTATGCCTCTGACATATATGCATGCTTCTCGTGGCCATATTCACGTTGTATAACATATAGGTAAAGGTTCCCTTGCTCGAAAGCCAGTCGAGTCCGACTCTAGGGTTGCGGTGCTCATCTCCGTTTCAAAGCCGAAGAGCCAGCGCTGTCCGAAGACGTTTCCGTGGTCATGTGGCCGGCATGACTAAACACCAAGGCGCACGGAACGCTGTGACCTTCCGACCGAAGTGGTACCTATTTATCTACTTGCAATTTCTTGCTTTCGAACTGCTAGGTTGGCAGGAGCTGGAACTAGAGATGGGAGCTCACTCCATCATGGGGCACCCGGGTCTCAAACTGCTGAACTACTGACCTTCCACAGCCTGCAGTTCAGCGTCTTAACCACTTGAGCCACCGCAGCTCCTTAGTATAACATATATGGATCAGTCAATCCGTGTAGTAGAAAATATAGGCGGATTTTCGAAAAGCAGTACTGTTTGTGTGAAAAGACCTTGAGCTCCCTCAGGAAGCAGGGAGAATGGAATGTGCCTGAAACCCAAACCGTTTGGGCAGCTGCTGATGTTTAATTTGTTGTTTAATTACTCCGAAGGACATCGATGGCCCAGCACTGCGCATTAGAAAAACATTGCTACGGCTCCGGATGTTCTTAAACAGCATCCTTCTTTGTATTGCCAGGCACCAGGATGTCTAAGAGCCAAAAGTTGGGTCAGGAATCGCACCTTATCAGGAAACTCCCTATTCTGTGCAGATGCAAAGGGCCTTGAAAGATGTCAGAAGAAGACCTCAATGTACCTTGATGTTCCTAGGTCAGATAAACAAATGCAAATGTCTGTAACCTTATCTGAAGTTGGGGTACACCAATGGAGAGATGCCAACTCACAGGATGCTGCCTGTTTGGAACCAATTACGCTCTGTATTGATTGTAAATAATCATGATATCATTTTGGGTGTAAGATCCATTGTTCTTTCCTGTTGAAGCCCAGGTATCATCAGCTTGGCATCACTGGGTGCTTTGGCATCTAGTTCTGTACCTCCCGCTACTGCAATAAACAGCTTTCCAACTCACTGGACTCTGTGTGTTCCCCATCAGACCCCAGGGACCCACGGGGCACAGATTTGTGCTTCGAAACGGATTATCCTGTCTGTGGCTTCATTTTTAAAAAAATGTTCACAGACCAATGTAGCTGTGAACATTAGGCCCATTAACTTTAAAGCTTTATGTTTCTAGCCTTTTCCATTTTACTTACATATGTTTTAGGGTGAGCTCTTCCCTCTCCGTTGTTATTGTAACCCTCAGAAACAAGTTAGGTTAGCCCAAGTGGAGCAGAATTAGAAAACAGAAGTCAGCAGAGGGGGATCCTATTTTCCGGGGAGCTGATTTCTGGGGCTCTTATTGCCCTATATAAGACCTGTCTTCTGTAAGCTGAGGCCTGGTGAGTTAGAACCAACAAGCCAGGGTGCCTTACAGACTACTTTATTGAGAATAAACCAGCTTTACTGAATTCGGATGCTGAATGTCATAGATGCAACGAACATGAAATTGAGCAAACTTCAGAGGACGGCGGAAGACAGGAGGGCCTGGCGTGATCTTTTCCATGGGGTCGCAAAGAGTCGGACTCCACTGTGCGACTGAACAACAACAACAAACCTAAATGCTGAAATAATGAAGCATGATAACAAAAATCTTGTATTGAAAATACATAGAGCTCTATATCGTTTAAAACAGAGCGGACATCTATGGAACAAATGTTTAACAAACACATTAACAAATTTGGGATTTGAACAGAGTATAGCCAATCCTTGTATGTTTAGCAGAGTGATTGGGACAAGCAAATGTTATCTTCTTATTTTTGTTGATGACTTGTTTTATTTTTGATAAATGTGAACAACTAGACTGGTTTGTGCAGACAACTCAACAATCTTTTAAGATTAAACATCTTGGTAGCATAAAGCAATACCTGGGTATGGATGTTTGTAAAAACACTGATGGTTTTTATGAGTTGAGTCAGGAGGATAAAATTGTAAAGTTGTTAGAGAAATACAACATGACTGAAGCACACCCAGTGGAAACTCCAGTGACCACAGGATATATAAGAGAGCCTGAAGGGAACAGTTTTGAGAATAAGGCTATATATCAGTCCTTAGTGGGTTCATTATTATATCTGGCAATATGGTCTCGTCCAGACATATTTTATGCTGCTCATATGCTATGCCAGAGAAATGCATGTCCTTTTGTTAGAGATTGGAATGCTGCAAAACGGATCTTGAGATACTTGAAAGGTACCATTAAGAGTAAACTGGTGTTGAAAACCGATAACTCTCAACAAGTGACTGCCTACAGTGATACAAACTGGGATGACAAAGAAAGTGGAAAATCCACAACAGGGTATGTGATATATGTTTATGGATCGCTTGTAATGTGGAAGTCAACTAAACGTTTTGTTTCAACCAGCACATGCGAAGCAGAGTTTGCAGCTTTAAACGGATGTGTTGTACAACTTGAATGGTTAAAACAGTTGTTAGAAGATTTAGAAATGTCATGTGTTATGCCTATGTCTTTAATATGTGATAACACAGCAGCACAACAGTTGGCTGACTCACAGGGAATAAACGCAAGGAGTAGACATATCAATATTAGGTATCAAAATGTACAGGAGACAGTGCAGAGAAAGCTGGTTACACTAATGCATTGTACTTCTGAGGAAAACATAGCAGACATGTTTACCAAAGGTTCAGAGGCAAACAGATTCTTAAACCTGAGGGGGAGTTTAGGTCTGATCACAAATTCTGAATCATAGGGGGAGTATTGACATATTAAGGCTTCAGAATGAGTGATCATGTCCATCTAACTGACAGTTGTTTGACAGCCACAGGAACCAGAATTAACCGGTTCAGACTGGAGCTGGGCAAAGCTCTGTCACAGTGACTCCGCAGGAAGCTGATTGGCTGGTTACTGTATATAAGTGTATGTAGTCTGTGAATATTTTTCCTTCTTCTTGTATGCATGTCTTGCGAAGCACTTTGACAGTGAGCTGTCAATATTGTATAATAAAACTGTACATAGTTAACCACAAGACTGTGTCAGCGTGGTTTGCTACAGTTAGCTCTTAGCAGGGCATAACTGGACTTCAGCTGGTGTGGACTGACTCAACCCAACGCACTGCGCGACACTGTAAGGCTTGTTGTATTGCAAAACCTCTTAGTCTGATCACTTCTACGATTCCTCCTCTTAGTGTGTTCTTTGATGGTATCTCAAATCACATCTCCATCTGAATCTTTTTCCACGGTCCCTGCATCTATATTTTCACTCACCAGTGTGGATTGCATGATGTTCTGTAAGCCGTATGCCAGTGTAGAAGGTCTTTCCACACTGAAAGCATTTATATGGCTTCTCTCCTTTGTGGATTCCTCGATGTATATTAAGACTTGAGCTCTGATTGAAGCTTTTCCCACAATGCAGGCATTTATATGGTTTCTCCCCTGTGTGGATTCTTTCATGTGATTTAAGGCTTGTGTTTACACGGAAACTCTTTCCACACTCCAAGCATATATATGGCTTTTCTCCCGTGTGGATGCTTTGGTGTACCTTCAGGTGTGAGCTCTGACTGAAGCCTTTCCCACACTCTTGGCATTTATAGGGTTTCTCTCTAGAATGGACTCTTCGGTGGGAAGTAAGGTGTGGTCTCTGACTGAAGCATCTCCCACACACTGTGCACTGGTAGGGTTTCTCCCCTGAGTGGGTTCTCTGATGGGAAGTGAGGGCTGAGCTCCAACTGAAGGTCTTTCCACACTCCGGGCACTCATATGGCTTCTCCTTTGTGTGGAATCTCTGATGGGAAGTGAGGCTTGTACTGAGAGTGAAGCTCTTTCCACACAACAAGCATTTATAGGGTTTCTCCCCTGAGTGGATTCTTTGATGCACAATGAGGGCTGAACTCCAGCGGAAGCTCTTTCCACATTCCGAACATTTATATTGTTTCTCCCCTGAATGGATTCTTTGATGCAAAGTAAGAGAACCTTTACAGCTCAACCACTTGCCACACTCTGAGCACTGGCATGGTTTTTGCCCGGTCTGGGATCTTTGATGAAAAATAAGACTTTCACTCAGACCAAAGCTGTTTTTGCATTCTGAACTCTCAGATGGTTCCTCCCTCTTATGGATTCTCTGATGAGAAGTGAGGCTTACGAGCGTGCTGAAGCCTTTTCCACATTCATAGCATTTGTATGTTTCATCCCCTGCATGGATTCTCTGATGGGAAGAAAAGTTGGATTCACATATTAATATTTTACTGCTTTCAAAATGTTTATTCCTCCTCTTTCCTTTGCTGTATTCTTTTGGGGCTGGGTTTTCAAGGGGGATGCCAGCCTGGAAAGCTGTAGACTCTTTTTTGCTTTCTTCCTGCCTCTTTGACTGTTCTGGATTCCTGGAAGGCTTTTCCTCCACTTCATGGCTGGTCATTTTGAAAGATACAGCACATTGCTTGCTATAATTCTCATTCTCCTGCCTGTTACCTGGTGGAACAAAGACTTCTGATTAGAAGTGGAAATAAGTCTATAATCTGTCATAACAGAGCTAATTTTTCTGCAGAGTGAAGAGACACAAAGTTCTCTTCTCCATTTTAATTTGGTTTCTAAATTGAAAAAGGGATACAGGCAACCTTGGGGCTCCTCGTCAATGGCTTTCACCTGAAGAGTTCACTGGTTCCCTGCAGATACTATGAACACTCGTCAACAGCTTTTGACAAAGCAGCCCAATAATACTCAAGTATAAAGGTACAAAATATATTTAGACTTAAGGCTTTCATAGGAGTGGTTTCATTTTTTTTCATTTTTTAATATGAACCACTCACTGACCGTGCTGAAGAAAGGTTGATCAGAGAACAGACGCCACACGCAGGGATGAGGGCAGAGTTGCACAGGGGCTGGTGTTCACCTCTATGGTTTGGGACAAAGAACCTTGACGGAATTCCTACTGCCTTATGAACCTACCTGAGCAGTACAGACATCTTCAAAGGCTCTACTTCATGTGCCCCACCTTTGGAGAAGAGGCATTGGCAATCCAGGAGAGGGTCTTTTTGGTTGTGGCACCGGAACTCTGGAACCCTCTCTCTGGGGAGACTGCCCTGTCTCCTTCTCCTCCATTTTTTAAAAAATAATTTTTAATTTGATTTTAACACATTATAGGACAGGGAGGGTATGAGGATAGAAGGGTACAAGGGATGGGATAAGACATAAAGGGAACTTCCATCAAGTTTATAAAACAGCTGTTACAAATTTCCCATCTTAATTCTTTGTTTCCAAATCTCTTTCTTTTATATATTTACTGATGTTAATAACACTTAATCAAATCGCTAAAATCTTCTATAGTGGATCCTGAAAAAGGTTTCTATAGAGTTCAAGTTAGAGTTTCTCCAAGGTTATAGTAATTATATTCATTATTTATGGTCTTCAAAATTTCTTTCCACCCAGTTGTAAAATGGTCTCCAATTGTCCCTCACTTTTTGTTTATTTTGATCTTTTAACAAGTCTGACAATATATCCGTTTCAGCTGTTTCAAAGATTTTTGTCAAAAGTTCATTTTCTGTTGGTATCTCCAATTCTTCCAGCACTTAGCATACAGAATTCTTGCTGCCATAACTATATGTATAATTAAGTGCTTAACTTTCTTATCTTTTACATCAGGCATAATATTAAGCAAAAACATTTTGGGTTTCAATGGCAGAGGTATCAAACATAGTTTTGGTAACCCTTCTCCAGTATAACATCTTTATACTTCCACCAAACATGAAAAAAGCTTCCCACCCTTGTCTTACATTTCCAACATTTGTGAAACATTCCCAGGTACATTCTGGCTAATTTATCTGGCATTATATGCCACCTATAAAACATTGTGTATATATATTCTCTTTAAAAGAAACCAATTTTGTTATTTTAACATTTGTTTTCCATATTTGCAACCAATGGTCAAGATCAATATTACAGCCAAAATTTTGGGCCCATTTTATCATACATTCTTTAATCACTTTATCCTCTATCTTAAGACGCTGGTTAACAAAGATCTTACTGTGTTAACAATATAGTCCCTTTCCTCCACATCAATCAAAGAAGGCACACATCCATCATATGACATCATTGTGTTATTAAAATGGGATATTCACTGCCGGAAGAGGTAGTGATGACCACAGGAATAAGCGGCTTGAAAAGAGGATGAGATAAATTCGCAGAGGATTAAGTCTATCAACAGCTTCTAGCCATGGTGGCTGAGGGGAACCTCCACATTCAGAGGCGTTAATCCTCTGAATCTGTGAACCAGGAGGCAATATCAGGGCCTCTATACCCTGTTGTTGGCCTCTATATCCTTGGCCTCTATATCCTGTTGTTGGCCCTCCAGAGGTGTGAGACAGGGTGCTGGACAAGATGGACTATTGGTCTGATTCAGCACGATTCTTCTTATCTTCTTATATATTCTTCTTTAGGGTTATAGTGATTTTCATCATTACAACATTTCATTCATTACAATCATTTCATCGTTTAATAATTAATTATTTTTGCTGCTGATTTCCTAGAATTAAATTACCATAGAATTTTCTAAAACAATATCTGTTTTTCTAAAACATTTTTTCAGGTTGTAGGTTCCTGAAAGTTTTTTTTTAACTTTAATTAAAAAAAACAAACCCCATTTTAAATTAATTATATTGATCTATCTGTTTTTGATTAGTTTTTAACTTATGAGTGTATTTTCTTGATTATAATAAATCCCCTGACAAACACGTCAGGATCAGGAAGCAATAATAAAGGATTTATTCAACACCTTGATTTCTTCTTTTTCTGCTTCTCTGGTGTGGCCCTGATTTTCTTGCCATAATTGGCCTCTTAACCAGTGAAAATCTAAGGGTAGGAAAACTACAGTTCCCAGAGTTCTCAGTTCATGCCACAGTTCTTCACATCTGTTTCAGGCACATGCCCTGGAAATTCTCCAGCAAATCAATGCAGCCCCCAGGATGGAGTGTGAAGAACACAAGGGGAACTTCAATTTTCCTTTTTTAAAGAACAACAAAAATCTCCCAGGTGTGAAAGCACTATGCCTGAGAATTTATCCGTGGGATTGCTTGAAGGATAACAGATTTGTTCCAGTATACGTTTTCATGAATCAGAGGTCATTTCTTCAGATGCATGAAGTGAACATCCATTCAGCAAATATATTTATACTTAAAACCAATGCTCCCTCTAAGCTGTGGAGTCTTGTGAGCAAAAATTCTACTTTGTGAGCTACTGGCATTAAAGTTGCGAGCGAGTGATTCGGCTACTACGCAGGGCTCTTTTTGTAGCAGGTACTCATTTGCATATTAAGTGACACGCCCCTAATGTAGCCAATCCTCCAAGAGCTTACAGTAGCTCCTGTAAGAAGAGCTCTGTAAGCTCTTGGAGGATTGACTACATTAGGGGTGTGTGGCCTAATATGCAAATGAATTCCTGCTACAAACAGAGCCCCGAGCCATCCACCCTGAGCTAAGACAAAAATGTGTGAGCCGGAGGCTAAAAAAACTGGGCTAGCTCACACTAACTCAGTTTAGAGGGAACACTGCTTAAAACTACAAGCCACAGGGAGTCAGACATTACAAAGACAGCCCCGTTTAAAACAAGATACTAATCAAGGGAGTAATCAGTCCACTCAAGAGTGCGCAAGGACCATTCCCAACTGTTGATAGAAAGGAAAAGGCAATCTGGAAAAAATCCATTAGCACCTTTCCCCTTATATCCCTGCAGTAAAAAAGGCTAAAGTTGCATTTTTTGGGGGGGGGGAAAGCTGGGAATTCAGAGAAATTAGTAGATCATGGCACTGGATCCTTCTAACATTCCTGCACTACAGCAATCATCAATTTTTTAAAAAGCGCCCTCAGCTGTTTTTTTATTTATTGGCTGTCAAGTGACAGCTGACTTATGACAAACCTATTGCTTGCCTCTGCATTGTGCCCCTGGTATTCCTTGCTGGTCTCTCTTCCAAATACTGACCAGGGCCGACCCTGCTTAGCTTCCGAGATTTGATGAGAGACTGACATAGCCTGGGCTACCCAAGTCTGGTGGTACAGCAGCGAAAATGGCTGCCAGAAATGGCTGATGGAAGGAAGATGGTGGTGATGTAGCCTGGCTCTCTTGGAAGAGTGGGACAAAGATAGGGAAAAACCAGGAACATGGGCAGTTAGACAGCCATGTCCAATTTGGAAGCCAAAGCTCTGCAAAATGTTTGCATGGAGGCAGCCCTAATAAATGCCAGCCAAGAATGAGGGATAGCTCCAGGTGGTCAGCCGTGTTGATCTGAAGCAGTATAACAAATTTAGAGTCCAGCGTCACCTTTAAGACCAACAAAGGTTTATTCAAGGTATGAGCTTTCCTGTGCATGCACACTTTGTCAAATCCCTTGATAGTATTCAAATCCCTTGATGGTATTTGAAAAAGTGTGCATGCACACAAAAGCTCATACCTTGAAAAAACCTTTGTTGGTCTTAAAACAATGAAGGAGTTATCCCGCTTCATTTAGAAACTGTAACTGTTTAACCAGATAAGACCTCCACACTTCCTAGCCTAGCAGGATAAAAAATGCACAGTGTGCCACTGAACGTGTCTGGTGGTAGAACTTTTAACTGCACCAGGCAGACCTGACTATTAGCACACTAACTGCTGTTAATCCTTTCTAGCCCTATTGGGCTGAGGAAGGCTCTATGGGACCCACGGAATCCTTAAACACAGGGCCTGGCCCTCAGGCTGCTGACTCATTAGAGGGCAAGGACAGGAGGAGAACGAGTGTGTGATGTCACCATCCATCACAAGCGCCAGGTCCAACCAATATACTGCCAGGATTATATTCATTAAGAAGAAGAAGAAGAAGAAGAAGAAGAAGAAGAAGAAGAAGAAGAAGAAGAAGAAGAAGAAGAAGAAGAAGAAGAAGAAGAAGAAGAAGAAGAGATTGGGTTTATACCCCGCCCTTCACTTGGAGTCTCAGAGCGGCTTACAAACTCCTTTCCCTTCCCCTCCCCACAACAGACACCGTGTGAGGTGGGTGGGGCTGAGAGAGCTCTTGACAGAAACTGCTCTTTTTCAAGGACAGCTCTTATCAGAACTAGGGCTTGCCCAAGGCCATCCAGCCAGGTGCAAGTGGAGGAGTGGGGAATCAAACCCGGTTCTCCCAGATTAGAGTCCGCGCACTTAACCACTACAACAAACTGGCAGACAGCAGACAGGAAGACATTTTTGTAAAGAAACAGACATTTTTGTAAA